AAAAACAAAGCAAACACTTTTATTCTAATAAGGGATGAAAAGCACTTGCAAGATACAACTTTCCTTCAATTCGAGAGGAAGGAAAAACAAATCTCTAGCCGTAGCCTAGAGCCCAAGAACACAAACCCTAGATCTCAAAAATGATTCAAATTCAAGATGAGCCCCTCTCCCTCCTAATTAACAATAAAGGATTCCTACAAATTACCTAAACAGCCCTTTGCATTCAAAAATTTCCCTCCCACATAATTAAATCAGCACCAAGTGGGGTCCACCTTGTCCGCCCCCTCCTCTGGGCGTTTCCGCCCCCGCCTGGTGTAGACCCGGGCTGAACCGGGTCCAGCCGGCCCCTCCTGGGCCGGTTCACGCGTAACACATACATTAGTAGTGCTATCATACTGTACTTGAATGCAGAATGAAGATATTATGATCTTCTTGATTTTACCTATACCCTATTCTCTTCATTACTTGGTGAATCACTTGAACCAAACTTTAGGTGATTGTTTTAGATTTTATATAGCATATTTTATTCCATACACCCTATCAGCAGATATCTTCTGCTCAATTATGGGAAAAATGGCCAAATAAATTTCTTTTGTTATAACCTCTGAAAAGGCATTCTTAATATCATGTTGTTGATGGTTGTTGACGACTGCAGTTGAAGTGGCTGCTAGTGATAAATGCTCATTTTTGCCACAAGGAGAAATGTCTCATGATAGTTCACTCCATATGTTTGTGTATATCGTTTAGTAACCAGTCTCACTTTATCTCTTCAAATAGAGCCATTGAACTTGTACTGCAAAGTAAACCTATTTTCATCATACTATATTCTTTTTCTTGGGTTTATTGATAATCTCCAATGCGTTATTTCTCTTTAATGCAGTCTTTCTCTCATAGTTTTTTTTTCCATACATGTACTGATTATGCCTTAAGTAAGATATTTGGGATAGAAAAAGTGTTAAGACTCATAATAAAATTTTTATGGAGAAGAGATAGACATCTATTTGTTATGTAATGAGACAATAGGTGTAAAGGTTCTGTTGTGCAACTTCTGCTATATTTTTTAACAATAACAGGAAGATCAACTCTATTTTCATCAAGAAGATCAAAGCTTACGATGTTCATTCTTAACAGCTATTGGGATGGTATTTTGGAATGGCATCTGGTTGAGTATAGCTCTTTTTCTTGAGTTCAGCAGGGGGAATCTCATAGAGTCACGGATCTAGATAAATTTGTGGTTGACAGGAGTGTACACGGGTAGATGAGTGTTATTAATGGTATTGGGGACATTCCATTCAGTGACAAATTTAGTGATGTTGAGATCATATTGACTAGGTAGAGATAGGATATGAGGGTGTTCTAGATGACTAAAACCAGAGTGGTTACGAATGTTATCTTCTATTAGTGAGATCTCCTGAAGATAAAGACTATGTGAAATCGGTTTAATCTGCAGCAAATGTGACATCAACATTTATGTTGAGTTTTTTAGATGTATGTTTTTTGTATGAGTGAGTATTTAAGAAATAAACTTGATTGCTCTGGGCTCCAATTTTCCTTTATTTTGACTAACAGCGAAGCTCATATTGAAACAACCATGGGCGCCGATTTTCCAAACTTGATATGTGAGTGAACTATTTATGCCCAAACTTGACTTTTGATATTTTTTCAAGTTGTTTAATCAGATAAAAGCGTCGAAAATGAATAGCATTGATAGCTTTGTTTTGTGGTTTGTGAAGGTGATGTTATTAGCTTGAAATTTCTCATTGATTGGGATTAGAAGTGAGTTGCTGGTAAGATATTTTTCTCTAGTATTTTTGTGAATTTTAGTCGAGCAAAAATATGCACCCAATTATATAGTTTGCCAAACTTCATTTAAAGAGTCAAAATACAACAACAACATCAAGCCTTTGTCTCACTAGGTGGGGTCGGCTACATGAATTCTTTTTCTCCATTGTGTCGTGTTAAAAGTCAAATTCCTATTTAAATCTAATAAACAAAGATCATTTCTTATATTTTCTAACCAAGTCCTTTTTGGTATACCTCAACATAAGTCAAATGTAATACCTCTACTTTCCGAACCGGGTCCTTGGAAGGCTGCTGTTTTATGTGACCAAATCATCTATGGCGACTCTCTCTAATCTTATCTTCCACTGGAGCTACTCGAACCTTTTCACATATATGCTCATTTCATATCCCATTTATAAGGGTAAAGCCACTCATCCACCTGAGCATACTCATCTTTGCAACACTTAACTTAGTATTATGCTTCTCAAAGAGTCAAAATATGATGATGAAAATGTTCTTTCAAAAAAGAAACTGAGGAAGCTTACTTTTTATAAAAGTAAAATTTAAACCTTTGACAAAAAAAAAATCATAAAAAATTAGATAATGAAGATTACTAAAAGGGCATTACCTTGGAAGGTAATAGGTAAAGCTACACCTGTTATTTGGTATGTGTGCATAAAATATGGCATAGATTTTATTCCAGAACTGTTCCATACACAGATTAACCAACCTTAAGCTTGAATTTGCTTAAGCCCATTGAGTGAAGACATGTCTGACAATGAGACAGACAAGGAATGGTCATGGACCATGAACAGTCTCTGGATAATTAATTGCCGCATCCCTATAGTATTACTCAATGTTGTCTATGTGCAGTGTCAACAATGGGGTTTGTTGGATTTGAAGCTTGAAACACAAACAAAAAGTAAGCTTTAGTTAGTTGAAGTGCTGGTCATATGGAACATTACATGATATCATGATATTCAACAACCTTTCTACGAAACATAATTATAAAATGATATATTCTATTGTAAGTTAAGTATGAATAATTAAAAATGTTACCAACTAGTATTAATTTAAGAAAACTTAACTCAATTGATATTTTATGTCTCTTTATAAACTTTTTTTGTGTGAAAATGAATTTTCAGAAGTAAAAGTAAGGAATATTCAAATATATAAAGTGAAGTCATCCACATCATTTGAGTTCATCTACGTTACCCAGCTCTTTGTTGTGCCACGATCACTTATTGTTTGCATTTTCTAACTCCTGGTGTTTTTGGGTGGTGTCTGGGACTCCAACACAGTGGAGGGTCCAAGAGTAATGAGCTACAATTTGTGAAATTGATTAAAAGAAAGAGTTGCAAGATCTGCGAATGACTATGGGGCAATGATAATTAAACCTTCTTCATTGTAAATGCGCTCAAACTAGTGAAATGAACAAGTTGTGACCCATGACTTGCACCAATGAATCATCAGCATGAAATGTCTGCATCTCTACGTCAACGTGCTTTCAACATGCTTTCAAGCAGAGCAAAGCATGGGGTTTTCACATCAGATCACTTCACTTCTAGTGTTCTTTTAACATCACTGATATTGCTATGAATTTCAAGCAAACAATGTACTTCTCGTTTGCTTTTAAGAAGTTGTTTAACTCTTGCTTTCATTTGTGAGGGAGATATGATTTATGGAATTGACTAGGGAAGCCTTATTTTCACTTGTTGTGGTGTTATTGATGGCATGCTTGTGGAATATTATATTTTGGTGCAGTATTAAATTTCAATATGCTCTTTTCACTCATTTTTTCTTGTATTCTATACATATTAATCATGGTGATGTTTTCTCTTTTCTTACGTCTCTGTTTTTTTTCCTATATTTACTTGTGCAGGATGGAGTAGATTTTAATGACCGTAGTTGTTGGGAGTACCTTTTTAAGGACTACTGGATAGAGTTGAAAGGAAAGTTATCAATGAACCTAGATGAAATAACAAAGGCTAAAACTGTATCAAAAGTCTGTAGTTTAGATATTGCAAATGAGGAATCTTCAGATGACGGACAAGGAGCCAGTTCAGACAGATCCTCAGCTTGCCATAATGAAAGTACTTCGAAAGATACTTCTAGAAAGAGAATGAAAAGGTATTTAAGGAATGCTATTCTAGACAGTTCAATAAAAGAAGGAAAAACAGAATTCTCAGCTGTTCATCAGGAGAATCCTTTGATGATCAAGGTGAAAAAGAGGCCGAGAAAAACTGTCAATGAGGGCACAGCAAATGATGCTAAAAGTCAGGTTTCTGTTTGTAAGAAAAATTATTCAAGAAAGAAATTGAAAAGGAAGACAAGAAGAGCTTCTGGGGAGAACTTGCTCGGAAATTTGGATAAGGAACCAACAACTGCCTCTGAGGATGTTAATTGGGCTTCTAAGGAGCTATTAGCTTTTGTGTCACATGTGAAAAATGGTGACAAGAGTATTCTTTCACAATATGACGTTCAAGAAATTCTACTTGATTATATAAAAGCAAACAACCTTCGTGATCCACGTAGAAGGAGCCAGATTATATGTGATAAAATGCTTCTAGCACTATTTGGTAAATCACGTGTTGGACACTTTGAAATGCTGAAGCTCGTTGAGTCTCACTTTCTTACTAAAGTCTCATCACCTGCATCAGATGAAAACCAAGGAGGTGATGCAGATCCCATTGAAATAGGAAATGAGGAAAATAATGATTTGATGGAAACTAATAGATGGATAACACGGAAAAGAGTGGAGAGCAAGCTGCAAGCCAATTTTTATGATTATGCAGCGATTGATTCTTACAACATTAACTTGATGTATTTGCGACGCTCTTTGATGGAAGAGTTGATTGATGACATGAGCACCTTTAGTGAAAAGGTTTTTGGATCATTTGTAAGAATTAGGGTTTCTGCTGCTAGTCAAAGACAAGAAGTTTATCGGTTAGTGCAAGTAGTTGGTGAGTGTAACCACACCCCAACTTCTCCCCCAAACCCAGAACTACAACTATCCACCCACCCAGACCTCAGTCCTTTTTTATTGTTTATTGCTTTCTTAAGTAAAACATAGATATACCTATCCTCTTTCTATGTCTGCAGGATGCGGCAAGGCACCTGAAGAATACAGAACAGGGAAAAGGATGACAGATGTCATGCTTGAGATAATAAATTTAGACAAGAAAGAAGTAATAACTATTGATATCATCTCAAACCAGGACTTCACAGAGGTAAATTTGGTTAAAATAGTTGATATTATATTTTGCTTCTCCCAGATTTCCATTTATTGCAGCCAAATAGGCATTGTGTGATGCCGCCTCCTTTTGTTTGAAAATGGTAGTAATTCTTTTACGTGCTAACTATGAACACTTTAATATTTCCATCTTTGCAATATCTTGGTCCTTCCCAAAAAAAAAAAAAAAAGTGACTCATCACTTTATTAAAAATAATGGATGGCTTTTGTTCAGTTAGCGGTTTTTGTCCAATTTTATTGGCATTATAATTTTATTGTGTAGTTGCTGAGCCGCGACCTTGATTTTCTTTCATCTGAGCTAATCTTTTTATCTATAAACTGTGTAGTAAAAATAGGGGTGGGGGAGAGAAAATTTAAGATTAAAGTAGATAGCATTTTTTACTAAATTGGATAGAGAAAAAACAAATAAATAAATAAAATGTAAATGCACGGTCTATGCTGCAAACTTGAGGCCATCTCCCCATTGTAGTAAAAATAATAGTGTTGTTATCTTTCTTCTGCTAGCTTCTGATTCTCTCCACATTGTGATTCAACCCAAGCATGATGTGTGGCCATCTCCCCCACTTGTGCGAAGTTCAACTCGCCATTTTGCATAAAGTCTAGGAGTCGTGACGTACGCAACTGCCTCACATTCCACACCCGTCTCCTGGTCAACCGTGAAGGCTCACACACTCCACTTTGTAGCCATCTTATATAGCCCATTTTGCAACGCTCTCACTTATTTTGCTTACAATTCCGTCTCCCAAATTCGCATTGCAGCATTTAAATCAAACTGTGCATTCCTTTTCTATATGTATCCTATAAAACCTGCATAAAAAAAGAAGTGGGAATCATAAACAGAAGAAGATCAAGTCATTATTCCTCATATGAGCCGTCAACTTCAAAGGCTCACGTTCATTGATCTTTGATTTGATCAAACGATGACCACCCTTCATCACAGTGGATCTTTATCTAGCTAGAGTTTCGCATCCTGCTAATTGATTTTGATTTGAGCACATGGAGTCTTCCGTTTATCCATAGATGCATCACTGTGAGCAAAGGTCAATGAAATCCTAGTGAGCTTTGGGATGTTGTTTGCCCCTTTTAGACCCGGAGAGTAGATTCATGGTGCTTTTCAAGGCCTAAAACTCATTAACGTGGAAGAAGATGAATGCCTATTTCCTTCACTCCCATAAGAAGTGCATTTCATAAGGGAAGACGAAAAGTGTTATTTTTTGAAACTTAAAATATAAGAAAATAAAATTTGATAGAACTGTGCAGGATGCCAAGAAGAATTGTGATATTTTGGTTACAGTTGGCTAATACCTATAAATTTTCTTATTTTCCTTGCTTTTGATTAGATGCTTGTACGTCTTAATTAGATTAATAATTAAATGAAGAAAGAAGTTAACATACAGGAATGGAACCTACAATGATTTTATATATAATATGACTATTATGTTCTGTTCTTTGTATGCTATTTAACTCTTCATATAGAACTGTTTTTTTGTTTGATCTTACTAAAGGAGAGTGGACCACCTTCATATTAAAATGAAATTAACAATGAGCTGTCCTGAGTTATCATAGTTGGCTTGAAAAGCGTATAACTTTGAAGGAAACAACCTCTTTTCAAAGAATTTATGGAACCCGCCACAATTATTCTCTTATAGTAGACTTTTATAGCAAGTTCATTAATTATTTATACAAGCACATACTATTTATTATTTTTAGACGCTTTCTGATGATAGAGCTTGATTTCTTTAATAGTCATACTGGAAGTTCACTTGATGCATTATAAGATTTACGCCAGCTTCCAACAATTGTTCAACTGTTAACAAATTTTATTCTTTCAAAAAATGGAAGAGATTAATTTCAGTAATGATGAATGTTAGTTGTATCCTTTTGATCACTTAGGTCATAAAACGCCATACTCCATGAGCAGTCTATGGTAACCCTCAGAGAGGGTGATGTAGGACTATGTATGATTTAAATGATTGTAATAATAATTTGCATGCTTTTAAGTAAGAGCAATAAGAATTAAAACGTTAGTCACTTAATGATAATAGAAAACAAAAGATGAGTGCTTCCGCGTAGGCTAAATCACACACTAATAGTTAAGATTACCAAAACAATTAGAACTTCAACATAGGCAAATTTAGGGGATTTTCAATAATATCCTTAGATTAACAATGAGAGTAGATGCATAGAAAGTCATAACTCATTCCTTACGTTTACTAAGCTTTGGCAGATAGCTTTGCACGATTCCTTATGCTTGATTCACAACCTACAATAGAAGAAGATTAGGAAGGAAATTGAAAAGGGGAAAAGTTCACCCTCGTCGAGGCATGACAATAATTTTCCACTGAACGGTGGAAAGCTGTTCTTCAATGGCTTTTGACAAGGTGAATATGATACGCTCCAAGTATCCCTCGGCGGAATTGTTTACTTCCGGATTGATGTGGAAGAAAGGATGTCGATGAAGCCTTGTGGATGAAGCCTTGTTCGTTGTAGACGAAATTGGAGTCAAGTTCAGGATCGGCCATGCATCGATTTTGTTGTGTTGAAGTGTTGTAGAAGATGTCCCTTTTTTGTCCTTGTGGATTCCCCTTGAGAGAAAGAAGTTTCTCTCAAGAAACCAAGTAGGGGAAGGGGTGAAAGGGTGGCCGGCCAAGGTAGGGGCTTGGGGGAAAGTTAGGTTCAGATTTTTAGAGGTGGAAGAGGGGGGGAAATTAAGAAATAATTTCCTAATTTATCCTCTAACTTTGGAAAGGATTTAAAGGAGGGATTTAGAGAGAGTGGGGGCGGGTAAGGGAGAGAGGGAGGGATTTAACTTCTTTCCCAAGTGGGAGGTTTTTATTTTGAAAAGCATCAAGGAGGTGGGGACAAGGAGGGGCCAGCAGCATCAAGGGGGATTGAGGAATTATGCAAGGGTTTTGATGCTTGCTTAAGTGGGATTTTCAAATTAAGGAAGATAATTTAATTCCAATTTAATTTGGATTTGATTTAAAAACAAAATGTTTCAAAATTGATTTGAATAATTGATATTGAAAAACTTTTCCAAAAGAGACTAAGTAAGAAAGGAAAGTAGTGATGAGGAGTTTGAATTTTTTGGAGGCAAAGGGGAAGGGGTAGGCAGGCGGCTAGGCTAGGTTTGGTGGGGTTCGGGTAGCTTTGTAATAGGGTGATGGGATATAGCCAAGTAGGAAGGGTGGAGAAGGTGGGGTGGGTCTTGGCTGAGTGGTGGGGTGGGGCTTGGCCGAGTGGTGGGGTGGTGGTTATGGCTGGCAGTGGAATGGCTTGGAGGTGGCCGGCGGCTTTTGTGAAGATGGTGCGGCTGTATGTTGGAAGGGATGGTGAAGAGGAAGAAGAGAAGATAGGGAAGAAAAATAACCACGAACTCGGACACTTCCAAGGTTGGTGGGTGATCCGATTCCCTCTTTTAGGGATTTCTCTCCAAAGACTCTCAAGCTCTCACAAGAACTCAATTTGCAAAAAATTGATTATCATTCATTCATTAACTTCAAAAGAAATATAAGGGGGCTATATATAGCCTCATATAATGAAAGGGAAAATAAAAGAGGACATAGCCCCTAGGGCTTACATATGACAAAACCCTTAAGTAAGGGTACAGTGAGAAATGCTACTAAAACAAATATATTAAGCAAATAAATAAAATAAATACATATGAAGACTCAAAAATAGTTCAGCGCGATCGTGGCCGTAGATTGTCGGTCATGTCTCTGATATACTTTCCATGATCTGATGTCGCCATCAGAGGAAGAACTTTTGAGATATTTATATATTTAACAAAAAGTTGATATTTCCCAAGCAGAAGGTATAATACATGATAACCTAAATAGAAATTGCGAAGACTGCTTCACATGTAGAAGATTTAAGCAATCATCAAATCCATCCTTGAATGAAGCCATTGATTATGAATGGATGATCTTGTCTTCAATTGTTGATGTATACATATGGTATTTGTTTTAATGGTAAGCTAGTAAACATTTAGATATCAACATCTTTAAAGAAAATGAGAGAAGTAAAAAATGAAACTTAAGTTTTTAATAATTTAATATAGTTAATCACAGCTAAATGTATGGATTAAGCTTAATAGTTGTCAAAATTATCAGAACTGCACTTCAAAATTTGGCTTCTTTTAAGCACCAAATTTTGTTGCCTATATCTAAAAATATGTTCTCAAAATAACTTAAATAACATTGGGTTTTATTGAAGTGCATCGATAAACATGTATAAAAAAATGAGGAGTTTATAAGTATATTTCTGTCTTTACAATTTTTATAACTTTTTATTATTAGTTCTAGGAGAGCTTGGGTTAATTTAACGTGGTTATACTATCCTCCCTAGAGTGAAGAAGTATCTAAAGGATTAAGTTGTAATGTCTCCTTGGCTTTATTTTAAAGGCAAATAAAGTATATCTAATTGATTAACTGAAAAAGCTGAGTGCCTATGTTTAACTTTATTTACTCTCAGTTGATCCCACGATCTTGGTGAATCATCTTATCATACATGTTAGAATATACACTAATAAAAATAAATAAATAAATATATCAAATTCCACTATTGGGTTCCCTTGGGTACATGGTGAAGTTGCAAGGCTCACTCATTTGGCCGCCTTGTCTATAGATTGAGATTGTAAGATCTACTATTAAAGTTGATTCTAATATTTTTTTTGGGTGTCCCATATACCAACTTTTCAAAATTCAGGATTTTAAAGCGTATCCCTCTCGAAAACTCACAGATAGAGCAATATATCCTAGATTTTAAACTATCTTAATTCAATACATTAGATGCAATTCAAGAACCTAAATGATGTATTTTTAGCCTCCCAAGGGATGTAACTCTCATTTTATCCAAAAAAATTCTCATTTCAAAATTATTTAAGTGCATTGATAAACATATTAATGTATAAAAAAACGTGGAGTTTATAATATCTAGTTGATTAACCAAAAAAGTTTATTGCCCATATTTATCTTT